GTACGAGTTGATGGAGAATCGCAGCTTACAGGATGCCCTGTTGGACCGGAGATGCGCAGAGCTTATGTTATGGGGAAAAAGATTTTGCATTATAAGTGATGTGGCGAAGGGTCTTGAGTATCTTCACCATTTTTGCGATCCTCCAGTTATTCACGGCGATATCAAACCCAGCAACATTCTCTTAGACGGAGATTTCAAGGCCAAGATTGGTGATTTTGGGCTTGCGAGATTGAAAACAGAGGACCTGGTGGAGGGTCTTGAGGAGGGTGAGACTTATAAGAAGAAGGAAGTCGGAGATGAGAACGGATCGATCTTGGAAGAGACAGAGAGTGTGGTGACAGGGTTTGAGGAAGCTTCGAGTTCAGCGATTGTGGACCGTTCGCCGGAGAGTTGCGTGCTTAGAATTTTGGACTCAGAACCTTCTCCAGAAACGGTGGCAGCGTCAACGTCACCGGAGGTGGGGATTGAGATGGTAAGTGTAGTATCAGAAGGGTTTTTTGACAAAATTAGTGTTGAAAGTGGGAAAAAGGGTAGTTCTAGGAGAGATTGGTGGTGGAAACAGGACACCGGTGGTGGGTTGGAGTCAGGAAGCGTGAAGGATTATGTCATGGACTGGATTGGGAGTGAGATTAAAAAGGAGAGACCCAAAAACCAGTGGAATAAATCTCCGACCTCCATGGATAACAACTCGAAAGCAGAGCAGAAGAAGGAGAAGATTCGGAAGAAAGAAAAGAACCGGAAACCCAGAGAGTGGTGGAAAGAAGAATTCTGCGAGGAACTCCAAAAGAAAAAGATGAAAAAGAAAAAAAGAGGATTTCTTTCGAGCGGTAACGGCGAATGCTGGTGGCAAAATGAAGTAATTGAACAAAAAAGAAAGAAGAAGAAGAAGGGTAGCATGAGCAGCATCGATTGGTGGTTGGAGGGATTCAGCGGCGAATTCCGAGTTGGGAGAAGAAATAACAGAGATGGTGATATACCCAAGAACGGCGGCATCAGTAGTACACCTAGCATGAGAGGAACCGTTTGTTATATTGCACCGGAGTACGGTGGCGGCGGGTTGTTCTCGGAGAAATGCGATGTCTATAGCTTCGGCGTCCTTGTTCTAGTTGTGATCTCCGGTCGCCGTCCCCTGCAAGTAACGGCCTCCCCTATGTCGGAGTTTGAGAGGGCAAATTTGATATCTTGGGCGAGGCAACTTGCTCATAATGGGAGGCTGTTGGATCTTGTTGATCCTTCAATTCAGTCTTTGGATAGGGATCAAGTATTGCTTTGTATTACCATTGCATTGCTCTGTTTGCAGAGGTCGCCGGCCAAGCGGCCCACCATGAAAGAGATAGTGGGGATGCTTTCAGGTGAGTCAGAACCACCGCATTTACCTTTTGAATTTTCACCGTCCCCGCCGGGGAATTTCCCGTTTAAGTCCCGAAAGAAAGCACGGTGAGTTTGCGCATTGATTGATAGTAGGGTGAGAAATGTGTACCTGTTGTAGGCTGTTTGTGATCATTATGCATTATGCTTTGTACAAATTTGTTGCAGAAATGTGAAAAAAATAAATGTTGTAAC